CTTCTTATGACTGTTACAGTTTCTGTTACAGATTCACAAACAAGGGAGCAAAAAAACACCTATTGCTCTGCTTGACCTGCTCAAGCACAACATCCTGCTATAGCTACCCATGAAAATGATGGCATACTGCAAAGTGAGGGTGAAAGGTGCCCACACATTTTGATTATCTGACTATTTAAAAAACACTGTTTCTATGGTGTGGCGGAGCCCCACTTCTCCAGGATTTCAGGCCAGGCTACATTTCCCACAAGCACAGGAAGAACCACCTAAAGGCTTTCTGCAACAGACTTGCCATTAGCAAGGAAGAACTGCCTCTGAGCCATCAAAAATATGCACCAGCTGCCATCTCTGCAGTGGTTTCCCTACTGCCACGCTGCAAGCAATACAAAAGGGTTATTTTCTGCTTCCCCCACTACTCAAGATTTCAGTATCAGATGTGTGCTCTTTTCCTCCCTGCTTCTTCCACACTGATGAAGAAAGCTGGAAACAGTATGGTCATCAAATCTCAAGCTGATTTTGGAAACAAAATTCATCCAGCCTTCTTTAACTATCCCACAAATAACCCTTAAAAATGCCTGACATTTCTGTGGGCTGTAAACTGCAAATAGCATCCCGAGATGTTTGCCCTGCATGCAATGCATTATGATATACCATGCAGGAACATGGACTCAAATACTACATGGTTTAAAATTATGGAAGCACAGTAAGAAAAGTAACACCGCTTAGACCTCATGAAGTTAAATGGAACTCCTTTATGTTTTATTATTACCTACGTGACAGGAAAAAATGAAGACAAAAAAGGGAAGAGTATTTTCTCAGATAATACTAGTCAATTTTGTGATACCAGTCTCAGGGAGAAAAAAAAAAAAAACAACTAGTTTTCTCAGCTGCTGCTTTGTTCATGTATGTCCTGTGTTAGTTAGAAGATTCAACATCTACAAAATCTCTACAAATAGAATTGGTTGTACAAGAAAAGGTGATAAACCAAAGTAGAATCTTGTAATTCATGTTTTTGAATAATAACTTAAAGTACTAATGCTTGAGATAGGTACGTTTCAGTTGTTTAAAAAGGACACTATCAGCAAGTGAAGACTGCTACCCTCAGAAAGGAGGAAATTAACACATACACACACAGACAGCACTCTACTCAACTTCAGTAAGCAGCTGGCACCCCTGCACCAGTAAGCAAACAAGCTCTGAAAAGTTCCTAATAGCCAGGGCAATCTCTGAGCTACAGGATTCCAAGAAAACAGGGATCCCTTGAAGGAAGATGAGCCTGAGGACAGATAATGAACCATGAGACTGCTCTCAACTAGCCAAGTTCCAAACCACTTAGGCCTTCAAGATCCAAGGACAACAGCCAAAATTCCAACAAAGGAAGAGGTATTGGTCACCTAGCAATATAAGGTGACTCAGTTCCAGTGGTGAGCAAAGAATCACAGAATGGCTTGAGCTGAGAAGGACCTGTCAAGGTCACATAGTCCAACCTCCCTGTAAAACTTAGGAGCACATTAAGTGTGGATTACACACGCCTTTAACAGTGCCCAGAGCTCTAGGAGGTGTATGTGCTTCTGTGATTCAACTTCAAATGCCTGTAAAACAGTCAGAAACAAAGAAGAGGTGCACAATGTTTGTATTATGTTATACACACAACCATGGCCAAAGTCAGTGGAAAAACTCCTACCAAATGCACTAATCTGGTTGATACCTCCAATTGTCATTTCTGGCCTTCGGAAGTTACAAGCTTGATTTCAGTAGTCTAATTAAACCAATCTCTCTCATCCCACTGCTAATTCCTTCCAGATGACTGCAGTGGGAGTTGTACTGGTGGTGAGTCTGTCCTCTTTTTCCTTTTCTGTTCTATTCTGAGCAGGTAATATAACACAAGGTCTGAACATGAGTGTTCTAAATCCCAATTATTAATTGCGATTTTGTAATCAACAGAATACATGACATACGATTTAACTAGACAAAAGCAATGAGTCTACCCCATATCTGCACCATTTTTTCTTACTATACCAACATTATACACACAAATGTTTATCCTGGGGACAATTTTTCCAGAGTTGATCAACCCTTCAGCAAAGTGGTTTTCTTAAAAAAAGATCCATCTGAATTCCCTTAGAAGATGGGCAGGGCTTAGTGACTCAGGAACAAAATAAATACAAAAAAACTCAAAACCAACCAACCAAATGACAAAAATCCAAACAAAAAAAAAAACAACCCCAACCAAACAAAAGAACACACAAAGAACCTCCAAAGAACCAACTCTGCCCCCCAAAAAAGTAAAAAAAAAAACCACAGAAAAAGCAAACCACATACTTATTCACATTATCATCTTCAACCAGGCTAATAAGTGTAAACAGAAAGCTCACACATACCTACACAAACACACAAAATGCAGCACCCACCACCATGTAAAATGGCTTTCATAAACATAATGTATCATTTTTTAAAAGGCAAAGTAACAAGAAGCTCCAAAAAGTAAACCTAGTATAGCAGCCATAGCAAAAATTTGTAAAAAGCTTGGTGTCTTCTGCGAAAACATGAGCAACTTCAACTACAGGACCAGAGAAAAGAGCAAACCAAACACATACAGAGAAATGCAGAGCACTCTGCAAGCAGCAAGGCAGTCCTCACGCCTTACTGCTCAAAAAGCCATGAAGAAGCAGAACTCAGAGCAGCACAAACTCCAGTGCTCTTCCCACATCTATTATTTGTTTTGAAATTCTTTGTACCACTACTGGCCTCTTGCATGGAAAGTGCAGTCACAGGTATGGACGAGTATAGCCTACTTACCTGTAGGCTAAGTCATGCCATTACTAACAGGAAACTACTCAAAATAAGGCAGTGCCAATATAATTTCTTGTGTTTGTAACAAAGAGGCCCCTGTAACTAGAAGCATATGGCTGAGGCTCTGTTTATGGTGATTCTCTACTTTGCCCAAATCAGATATTTCACATTAATCAACACAAAGTTCAGTTGTACCAGGAAACAAAAAACATTAGAACATTCTTTTAAGCTAATGCAAACGTGAGCCCTGTGGAAAACTATGTGATCTGCACAACACAGTGAATCAAAACATTGTGCTATTAGCACCAAATTAGGGTAACAAAATATTTAAAATAATTGCTTACATAACTATTGTAACAGCTGGAAAAACAAATACTTGTTGTGTTCACCATGGAAGTCAAGTTATCATCTAGCTCAGTTAATGTCTTGCTGAGAGTTTTAAGCTTCATACTTTTGTTTCCTCTTTAAAATGCAGTTAATATCTACACAGATATATGGTGCTATATGGTTACTGATCAGTCAGCTGCAGTCTAACAAAAAAACCCAAAACCGTTGGGTTTTTAACATCTAAATTTAAAGTAGCTTCTTATTAAATTTCCCCAATGATTTACTATTTTGGTAATAGAAGATATATTGACACAGTGCAAAATACCTTTTCTAATTAAAAAAAAAAAAGAAAACACATATTAAAAATGTGGTTTGGAATTAACAGGCAGCTGAAAACAACTCATGGTAAGAATCAATATCACAATTGAAGATTTCAAACACATCACATCTCTAAATTACCACTCCAGCATTTAAATTTTGTGTATTGTACTTTCACCTCAAAATACTTCAGTATGCTACAGAACATTAAAAAAAAAAATTAGACCCATTCTTTAAAATCCCAATTCTGCAAATTTCATAAACACGCAACATTGCTTCCAGTAATAACTTTGTCATGTGCTTAAACTGTTAAGGACTTCATTCCACATTTTGCTGATGAAAGCTTCACATGTTTTAATTTTTAAAGACAGCTTTTCTCTAAAGCAATCATGTCTACTGGGAGATAAAAATGAGAAGAGTCTGTTTCTTTAAACTGAGAAAACCCCAGCAGTTTTCCCGGTTATTAAAACACACTTGTAAATATCATATGTATACACAGAGATAACTTGCAGCCCACAATAAAATTGCTCAATAAAATAATTCTAAACACAGCTTACTTTGTGGGAAAAAAGAATTAGAGAAAGTATAATGCAGTATCAACAATTCCAAGATGAAAACAGTACTTCTACTGCTGGTATTTTTACTTCCTTTCCATTTCACAGGCCACTTTTATCTCATTGATTCTGTCATTTCCCTGCCTACTTCCCCATAAAATGGATCTATTCAGCATAATAGTCATCCTGGATCTCCTTCCTGAAGCAGAACAGTTACACACCAGCATCAACTTCATTCCCTACCCAGACCAGGATCCTCTGTCCCATGAAATATCACCACTTCTACAGCAGTAACATTCCAGTTTGCTTTTTGAATTTTACCAGTCTCTTTGGGAGGGTCTAACCCTTACTTCAGTATCAGCTAGGCAAGATGACATTTTGTACCATATACATGTGGGTAGGGAACGAGTATCTGTTCGTCTGAGGCAAAACTTCTTCGTGTGTACCAGATATCAGCGTTGCTTCCTTCCTCTTAACCACCCACCCCCCCAACCCCAGACAGAGATCTGAGAGCAATGGAGAATGTTTGGAGCAATTTAGCGAGCAAAGGGGGCATGAGTGGCCGCTGGTCTGGGAGCAAGAGTTTCACGGCAAACGGGGTGGCCAGCTGGCCTAGGGCACGTAGGGATACACGAAGAAGGGATGGAGTCAGGGGCAGCCGCCGCTGCTGAGGTGCTGCTCGGAGGCGCACAGCACGATCGGCCCGAGGCTCGGCCATTGAGCCCAACCGCGTCTGCGAGCAACAGGGGCTTCAAGGGCAGCCCCAGCGGCGGCCGAGCAGCCTCAGCGCGCACGCCGGGGAGCCCCGCGGCCCCGCAGCTGCCCGGGCACGGCCCCACGGTGCCCGAGGAGCGGCTCCCACCCGCGGGCGGCTCCGCTCAGCCCCCGGCGGCGGCCCCGGGCCCCGCGCCCGCCCCACGGCACCACCAGGCCGCTCCGCTCCGCCGCGCCCCCCGCCCGCCTCGGGCGCAGCGAGGCTCGGGCGGCCCTCCCCCGCCCCGCCCGTACCTCGGCTGAGATCGAGGGACACGTTCTCCTCGCCGCTGTCGTTCCGACCTGCAGGGACGGGGGGAGAGAAGCGCGTTAGACGGGCGGGGAGGAAGAAGCCGGGGACAGGGAAGAGAAAGGGATGAGGGGAGCGGGGGGCGCCGGCGGGCACCGTGGCGGTGGCGCGGCGGCGGCGCGGCCCGCGGGACGCTCCTCACCTCGGATGCGGAGGTGCCTCAGCGAGCGGGCGCGGAGCGTCGCCGCCATCTTTGCGGCCCCGCAGCCACAACACCGGAAACCTCGCCCGCTCTCGCGAGGGGAGGCGCGCGGAGCCGCCGACGCGGAGGGCGCCCCCCCCCCCCCGGCACCTCCCCCCTCACGGCGGGGGCGGGGCGGGCGCGGCCGCGGCCTGGCAACAACAATCGCTCCTTTTTCCTTTTTTTCTGTTTTTCTTTGTTTGTTTGTTTGTTTGTGGTTTTGTTTTTGCTGTATTTTTGTTTGATTCTTTGTTTCCTTGTTTGTTTCTTTCTTTCGGGGTTTGCCCGCCCGGTTTCTCGGCCTTGTGATGAGGTGGTAATTCACGTGGGTGCGGCGTGACCGTGGGCTTTGTACGCCGGATGTTTTCTGCTTTTTTAAAGCGTGAAGTAATTAAAAACAGGAAAAAAGGAACAGCTTTTCGTCGCTTGTTTGGTTTGTGCGCAGCGGGTCTCACTTTAAGCTCAAGTGCTGATCTGCTTACTGCTTTTACAGTTGTGAAACTTAGTTAATAAAATAAATGCAATTAAAAAAAATAAAAACAAACAAGAAACCCCAGTGTGATAAAGAAGTTCCACGGCCAGAAAGCCTTCACTGACATACTGACTCCTCTTTAGGGAGAAGTTTAAACTAGCTAATAGCACCCCACATCACGCCCTGATGTTACGGATAGCCATGAACAAATCCTTGCACTCTGACATCCCAAATTCTCTAAACCAAATCCAGCAAATAATTATAAAGTTGAAGTGTGTTAATAGCCAGCTGTATAAAAACACCTCCAGAAGCTTAAGTAACTTTTTTCCTGTTTTCTAGTCAATTATTTTCCACTCTGAATTTTCCCTCCTCTCTCGAGGTCCTTACGATTCAGATCCAGCATTACTTGTAAAAATCTGAGGGGTTTGAGTATTCATGAATGTTAAGATTCATCCCAAAATTTTAACACTTACTGGTGCACTTCTAAAACATTAATACTGATTTAGGAGAGTAAAATAATTGTTTGGTAAAACAGAGTGGAAAAACTTTTTGGCATATCAGCCAGAAGAATCTTGTTATAATTATATCATGTACATTTAATTTAAAATATGATTTTCAAAAACTTCTGCATGATAATTTTAAAATATGTTAAATATCAAACTAATGTTTTGGAGGAACCAAAGATTCTGAAAATTAGAAGCTCTAAACAATAAGATCTCATCTGTTCATAACACAAGACCAGGTCAAACTTCCTTGAGCAGGTTCATCAATGTGCCTTGGGTCTGTCCTTTAGGGTTTCATGTTCAGGGAATCCTTGACCTCCTGCAAATGCCAAATTAACTGCTGGTGGTAATAATGCTGCATCCTATTTACTACAAATTCTGCTGTTTTGTAATTATTTTCACATAACTTTGACTCACCACTAAATATTGTCCAGTTTGGATTGGATTTGAACTTGTAATTGCTATGTAAAATGCTTTAGACACTCATGCTAAATGCTACTGCCATTCAGCACTTGCTTCTTCCCTAAGAGAAGCAATCTGGAAAGCATGAGGTACTTCAAGAGAACCCAAACATTATATTTCAACAAGGGAGAATAAGAAAGGAGTAGTTTTTAAATCCCAGAGTACTCTTTTGTGGATCTTTTCCAGCATATAGCCTTTAATAATCAAAATATTATATTTATTTTGGGGGGCTTGAATTTCCTGTGTCTTTTTCCTACTAATTATATTTGGATTCTGCAGGCAAAATTGAGGTTGTCTCTGATAATGACACATAAAAGAATGTCATCATGTCAGTTGTAAGTGCTAATCCACAAGGCTGTGTTAAAAGGAGTTTGAGGTAAAATTAATATTTGCCACAAGTAAAAAGAAAAGGAAAAAGAACATTAGGTTTTTAGTTTTTCATTATGGAGAAATGGAAAAGAGTGAGAATGCATTAACCTTAACTACCACTTAGATCCCCACAAAACAAACAAACAAACAAACAAACAAAAACCCAACCACCCCATCCATAATGCTGCAAGAAAAGTCAGGGCCTTAAAATGTTGTGGTCATCACTAGCATGAGGAGTTCTCACCCTACGAGAGCAGAGGACATTTTTGGATCTGTTTTTGGAGCTTTTCCTCTGTTCTAGTCTTCACTCAAATGTGGGGAATGAATCATAACAGTTTATTTAAAAAATTATAAAGTTTCCTTACCTATCAAATTTTCTACACGCTTTCATCAGCACTATTGCTCCTGAGTGTGCAGAAGGGGAGAAATATGGAGGGGAAAAAATCTCTTTGTCCCTTTTGGAGGGGGAAAATTAATACCAAGGAGAAAATTAACTTTTTCACTTGGCTTGTGTGTCACAAATTACAGCTGATCCAGTGTATGGCAGCCTCTTATATTTATTTTTTTGTTGTTCAGTGTCTAAAACACTGTACATCAAAACACTAGAAACCCAATCAAAGAAAAGATATATTAGTGGCCAAATGGGGAATCAGAATGCTTCAATTTAATTCTTCCTTTATCATTTTATGTGAAAGTATGCAATTTAGTTCTCTATGTAGTTTAGTAACTCTCCAAAAGAAGACACAGGGACACACTGTGAAAGCAGAATTTCCTGTGAGCTACTGGTGTATTCCCTTTCCCAACTGCAAGGCATGACATATGAGACCATAACAATCCTCTAGTGTCACCTGGAGGTGTGCAGAGGCAGGTTGGTGTTGAAACCAGGGTAAAACATTTCTACATGTTCTTGGACTGGAAAGGGGGTTCTAAAAGTTGAGTCACATTTCTGTGCTTGCATGCAAAGGACTCAAAAAGAAACTGTTTTGTTCTTTCCTTTCCCAGTCACAAAATTTTTGCTTTTGCCCCCTCGTGTGTGGGGCAGCCTTTTTACACACTGAACAGGGATATGCCATATAATGTAGAAGATACTACAATGTGAGCTATAGATCTTCAAGAATTAAAATCTAAAATAAAGATCAAAAAGGATAGCTTTTGACTTGTTTAGGCTCAATTAAAGAAAGCTAGTGCCAGAACCTTAACTGTCTTGAATAATTTAAACTACATGGAAATGAATATGGATGTGCCATGTACACCAGCTCCAGCCTGTCCATTGTATAAATGTAGAATAAAAACCATAAACTTGAATCAAACTATGCAGACAAGAAGTTAACTTACTGAATTCAATTGAGCTTCTGTGATGTGTAGCTGAAGAGCATTTTATCTTATGCAAATGTACTTGCAATACTCTTCCTTAATTTGCAATATCATAAAATTGGCTACAAATAAATGATAAATACTGAATGACAATTGGACAAGCAGAAAGAGAAGAAAATCTAGTGAAAGAGGTCAAAAGGTTAAAACAATCATCCCTTCTTTGCTCTTTCTATACTGTTAGCAAGAGGTTTTGTAATCACTCTATTTGTTTAGTCTTATTCTTGACATGAAGCCCATCAAACTGCATAGAACTTGATAAAACATGAGTTCTGTTCTCTGAAGCTAAGAGTATGGAGGTATAAAAAAGAAAAGTATAAAGAAACCATCACTGGATGGAGTATCTCGGAAGTTTATCTGATATTGGTTTGCCCATATAATATTACAAAAATAATTTGACCTGATTTTTCTTATGTAAAATAAAACAAAACAAAAAAAAAAAAAAAAAAAAAAAAAAAAAACCTCAGGCTGTGAAAATGTCTGTCTGAGCAGCAGCTCAGAATCAGGTCAAGAAAGACACTGAGGTACTTGAGTGAGTCCAGAGAAGGGCAGTGGAGCTAGGGAAGGATCTGGAGTCCCATGAGAAGCAGCTGAGGGAGCTGGGGATGTTAGCCTGGAGAAAAGGAGGGTTGGGAGAGACCTTATCAGTCTCTACAGGTGCCTGACAGGGGTTGTATCTAGCAAGGTGGGGGTCAGTCTCTTCTCCCAAGCAATAGGACAAGAGGAAATGACCTCAAGTTTCAGCAGAGGAGGTTTAGACTGGATAATAGGAAAGATTTCTTCACTGGAAAGTTGGTCAAGCATTGGAACAGGCTGCCCAGGGAATCACCATTCCTGGAGGTGTTTAAGACCTGTATAGATGTGGTGTTTAGGGGCTGCTGTAGTGGTGGACTTGGCAGTGGTGGGTTAACAGTTGGACTCAATGATCTTGGATGTCTTTTCCAACCTAAACAGTTCTGTCTAAGAATGGGTCCTGGTAGATTTTTGGTTTAGAAGTTCCTGTTTCAGTCAAATCAAATCCAGCTCATCAGCACTTTTTAAGCAGCTGGACAAATGTATAGTATCAAATTAAATTATCGGCAGCTCTGAACAACCAGTGGTCATTCCGAAGCAAAACACAGATGCTAGAGCAGATCTGCACAATGCCTGACCCCTGGGCAGCCATGCACCGAAATTCTCAGACCTCCCTGTGCTTCACAGGTGGCATAAAGTGGTACGAGCGTGACAATGAATGTCACATCTCCAACCAGATACAGAGCAGTGTGTGGGAGGATGCACCTGCAGCTCTGGGCTTGTGTGCCTGTTGTGCAACAGAAGGACCTGCTTGGGAGAGGATTGTGCTGCAAGATGGAAAAGGCATCCTCTTCAGAGGATGTGAGGAAGGAAACAAGGGGGGAAAAAGGTGACCCCATTAGCTGCAGCTTAGTCTACATAAATCGAAGTCCTTTATTGTGCTTTTCTTGAGAATTGGTTGTATGTCCCCATAATACAGCAACAAGCAGAAATAGGAAGGGTCCTTCTCCTGTGTGTAAATTCACCTGACTCCTGGCAACAGAGTCTTTTTGCTGTGAGTTCTACCAGAGGATCTGAGAAAAATTCAGTGTGGCCAGAGCTGGGTGGAAACCCTATCAGAATCTGGGATATTGGGAAGGGCAGAGGTCATTAAACAGAATTGCAATGTGAAAGCAGGGATGTTGCATTTTACATGCATCTGTTCCCTTGGGAATCTATCTGGCTCATGGAGTCACCTGGGAAGAGAAGTAGTGACATGAATATCCTGAAAAGATGAGCTGGGAGTTCTTTGGACAACCTTGCACTGGTCTTGAGCCAAAACTGTCTGATTCAGGCAATGTG